GGGACTCATTAACAGAGCGGCTTCTAGATTTCATCTGAATCCCTTTGAAGCCAAGCCGAGTAAGTTTCTAGGTTCGTGGATCCGAACCCTTTCGAGGCTTAGAGCGATTCAATCCGTTTGATGGCGATAAATCTGGGCCCATCGATTCTTGGACTTGCGATAAATTCGGGCCCACTAATCTTGGGCTATTGGGCCTAAATAATTTAGTGGGCTCAAATAAAGAGGGTAAGGTCCTCTTGCCCCGTTCGAGATCGAACATGGCCTGCACATCGGTGAGAGTGAGAAACTGTTGAGGGAGAGAGTTTGATGGTTGTATTCCCGGGACTTGGCTTATGTACCCGAAGATTGAGCTAGGGGCGTCTTGGCCATTCTGGTGCTGCGAATTCATCATTGGTGAGGACATTTGACGATACTGGCCATCAGCGCCTATAGACAAGCCAGTTGGTGATGGGATATTGAATTGAGGCCCGTAAAGTCCACCGTACGGCGCCGCTATACCGGGTTGTACTTGCAGATTTGTTGTCGGCACCAAAGGAGGCCCGCTTGGTGCTCGGGTAACATTTACTGGTGGCGTGACAAGATTAGGTACGGGCAGAGCCCCCTTTTGCGCCATCATGCTCCTTATGCTTTCCTGGACACCAACAGTCGCCGGAGCACCATTCATTACACCAGAAACTCCCTTAGTCACCACTGGATCTTGGCTTGGCACGCCATGGAGCCCGGGTATGGGCAAACTGCTGCCGCCTACTGTGGTTTGAGTATGTGTTACTGTGGCCGTGTTGCCATGAGTCATAGGCTGATTGGGACCTACTTCTCCTTGGATTTGATTTTGCGTTCCGGCGGGAATAACTCCACCGCCAGTTTGATTTTCGTTTGGCGCCGGTGCAAAGTTAGAACTCATCACCAACATGGTGTGAGTGAGATTTTTGAAGAGTGGTAAGAATCTCTTGCTGAGTATTTTGAAGTCCTTGAATGGCCTCCAACAAAAGTGGTTGATCTGGAGCCATGGTTTCGGTCATCACCACCATTAGAGGATCCTTGTTGGTGAACTTCATCTTCTCCCTCCATCCTTGTTGGAGTTGTGTGGATTCCAAATCTTGTTGAGACCATTAACCAATCCGCCTCCCCAGCAGAGTCGCCAAAATGTAGGAAAGGCTTCAAGAAAAGAGTTGGAAAATTCGAAGATCTTCGAAGGTCCTTCGAATATGATGAGAGGCTTAGATTCTTCAATAATCTCAACTTAGGAACACAACAACAAAGGAGATGATGGAGATAAGAGATTGGGTGAAGAAGAAGGCAAAATGGCTAGAGAATAGAATAATGGCAAGGCTCTCCCATTGATCTCCCACTTTCACTCTCAAGGTTGATAATGGATAAGGGAAATTAGTTCTTTCCCAAGAGTTAAAAATCTCCAAAATCCATCCCTTGTAAAGCTATGGGTGGGTGCTATTTATAGGCACCTCATGATGTAGGATGGAGCCCATGTGCAAGGCACATGGGGGATATTCTCTCTAACCACCTTGTCCGAGGAGGTGACCTCTCCGAGGAGGTGACTTTTTTTCAACTCCTATTTCTTTTCTTCTATCAAATTGATGTATTTTTTAGTTTTTATTCTTCTTTAAGTTCATGTAACTTGTAACAAGTGATGATTTTTTTAAATGATACATATTCTATTTTGTTCTAGTTTTTCTTCTTCATTTAACTACTTCTAAAGAAATCTTTAATCTGTTTAAAGTATAAAACTCAACTAAAGTTTGATCTTTTGTGTTTGTTAAACTAAATTTTTACTAATAGATATTAATAGCATAATAGGTATCAAATCAATCACAAAGACGTGATATATGACTTTAATAGACCTGTTTAAAACTTCGTTTTAGATAATAGTATAGATAATTAGTGTTTCTATATGTAAATGCATGTATTATATAAATATTTGTTTAATATAGATTTTTTTCATAATTTAATTTATGTGTAAAATAAAATTGTATTAACCTTTATTAATGTGTGATAACTACTAAGTGAGATTAAAAGGTAATTTAGGAATATAAATTTTCACTTGGCATATGTATACGCAAGACTTCAAGATACTAAGGCAAGTCTTTAAATAGATAAAGATCCAGCAATGATTTATACCGTTAATTTTGGTGCTCTAATGGAGCACTAATGACATGGCAATAAATAAAATAAAGAAAAATAAAAATAAACCAAGACCAAAACATCACATCAGTGTGGGTGGAGCCAACTGCTAACTCATTAGAGCTACCTTTAGAGCTCAAAAATTAGAGCTTCAAAGCATTTTTCATAAAGATCTAATTGTTTCCGCAATAGCAAAGCTTAATGCCAAATCAGGTCAAACATCCCCAAAACTAGTCACAGGATTTTAGATTGAATTTTTTTTCAAGTTATGCTATGAATTTGAATGAATTTGAGAGACTCCTAAGAATAAATGATCACTAGTTGGAACATAAATACTATAAACAATTTTTTTTATTATAAAAATACTCCTATTATAAATTAACTTTTAATTCAAAATTTAAAATCATATGCATTTTTATTATTATTTATTTTTTTTGGGTTAATATTAGGAAGTTGTAACATATTAACTTATCTACGTAAAATAACAAAAATCTTACTTTTTAAACGTATCACTAAAAATGGCAAAAAAAAAAAATTATTATAAGAAAATCATAAAGTTAGATTACTTACCATAATTACTCATTCTCCTTTTAGTAGCAGTGAACCCACGCTATACACACCACGAAATGTATTTTTTATTTATTAACATTTTTTTTTTTGGTTGTGTATTCCATAAAAGTGCAAATTGAAATATCAACAAATTCATTTACATCTGTTTGATTTGCTCTTATTTTATTAGCTTGCATTCTTCCAAGATGATCCCAACTAAGATAGATTCTAAAAATAATTACGACTCAAATAGTCAATTATAGCTAATATATAGGGGATTTGGCCAAACTCTCTCATAATTAAATTTTAATGCATTAAGGATAATCACAAAAAGTTTTCCTTGAACATATCATTATTATCAAAATATTAAACTTAAAAATAATATAACTTTTGATATAGATGTCGATTTTTAATAAAATTAATATTTTTAAAATTCTCTTATCAAGATCTATCAAATAAGATTCATGTTGACTATAAAATTCTTTAAAAAAAAATTATTACCATCAAAATTGATGTAAACAACAGTAACATGTTACTCTGACAATATTGTCCAAGAAAAAAACAGAAGATATTTTATTTCAACAATGATTCATCCCACTAAAAACATCACCACTAATATTACTAATGCATTAAAAAAGTAAAAAAAAAAAAAAAAATACAACTCCAAGACCAAAACATCACATCATTAATGGCGGGACCCACTGTCATCTAATTAGTGGGAGCACTAATTAGTGCTCCCAAGCATTTTTCATTTTATTTTATCTTTACTCAATTATGGAGTCTTTTGGGAACACATCAAAAAAGTCAGCTTCTTGGCTTTTTAGTTTTTCGAAAATGTCTAAGACCCCCTTTTTTTCCCACCCCTTTTGACCACCTCTCTCTCTCATTGGTTGAATTTTCTTTTCTTTTTTTTTTTATTTCCCTTGTCCTCCAATCACTACCTGCCACATGTGTGTGGGGGTAGTGATTGGAGGGGGTTTCCATCACTCCTTTTAGTTGTTTTAGCTAAAAAAGTCAGTTTTTTTTACCTAAAACAACCCAGCTTTTTGCCAAAAAAGCCACCAAAAAATCTAAAAAGTCAGTTTTTTACCAACTTCTCAAAACGGATGAGGGGTCCCTGCAGTGGTGCCCCATGCTGTGCCCCCTGCTGTGCCGTTCAAAACGGCAAAACGGCACCATTCTTTTTTTCTTTTTTTATAGAATTACATCAACTTCTTATTTCATTAACATCACACTTCTGAGAAATCATAAACAAAAAAAAAAAAAAAAAACCTTAATCCTAAAATAAAAAAAAATAAATTTTATCCCTAAATCTTAAAATAAAAAAATAAATTTTAAGAATTAAACATTAAAAAGTGACCAAATATATGGATAAAGTGTAATTTATCATGTCAAAAAACATAGTGATGAGAACATGAAAAAAAAAAAAAAAAAAAAGATGAAACTGTGCCCTTTTTTTTTTTCTTCTTCTTCTTCTTCTTCTTCTTCTTCTTTTTTTTTTTTTGAGTAATGAAATAAGAAGTTGATGTAATTCTAAAAAAAAAAAAAAAAAAAGGTGCCGTTTTGCCGTTTTGAACGGCACAGCAGGGGGCACCACTGCAGGGACCCCTCATCCTCTCAAAACACTTACGTATTTTATTCTTAGGGAGTTTATGAAGCAAAATAAATCAAGCTTTCTTTTTCATTAAACAATGGAAGAATTTTTGCTAAATTTTCCATGAGTCCAAGGAATTAACAAATCTAACTAGAATAGTATTCTAGCACTAACAAGTTATTTTTTGGGGAATAAATTGCAAAGCTTTATCTTGGAAAAATTAAAAACCATTTGTGTGGAAAAAATTTAAGTAGGACTAGATGGGTTAATGATGTCAGCTGATGTGGCAAGAGCTCAAACAAAGGTGTCAATGAAATGATATGAATCACTGAGATTAACGGTGCTTTAGATTGAGTAATCCCAATGTGATAAGGAACTACCTAACATAATCCCATTAAGAAAGGAGCCCCATATAGAGAATAGTTTCTAGGCAAGTACATTCTTATATGGAAAAAGAAACCAAAATGGATGAATGACACTACTATTGACTTATTTTGAGAATTAAATTTAAAAGTTGATTTTTTAATTTTTTTTAATTTTTTTTTAAAAAAAAGTATAAAAAATAAAAAAATAATATGACTTAAAAAAATCATAAAACATATAAATTGATTTTCAACCTTGTTTCCAAAATAACCAATATAAAAGCTCAATAGCTTTCAGTATTAGAGCAATTGGCAAGAGCTTTTGTGGCTATTTTAGCCACAAAAGACAAAATATGCTATTTTAACCACAACAAACAAAACATTACATCCAACTCATAATCATTATACTCTTCTCTCACAAAAAAGCTAAAAAAGTCAAAAAGCTCTTCTCAAATCAAGTTTTTTAACCCAGGATAAAATAACTAAAAAAATTAAAAAGTCAAAAAGTCAACCCACTTTCCAAACGGATGCTAAGGCCTAGTTTGGGAAGACTAAATAAGTGCACTTTTTGACTTTTTATGAAATATGAGTTGGGTTTGGGTTGGGTTTGAAGTGATGTGTTGGAGAGGTGATGTGACTTAAATAAGATGATGTAACTTAAATAGGATAGTGACTTTTTAACTTTTTGTCTTTTTTGTCTCATGTCAAACTTGGCCTAAATATTCTTGAGTGAGTTGTTGACTTAGGCACTAGAGTGCCTGGTCATTTGACGGCACCACTAAGCAATTATGGAACTTGGTTTTGTTGGTGAAGATCTTTGCGCATTCATATTTAATATTCACCCAAAAAAAAAAAAAATTTATTGAAAATTCTAATAAAGAAGTTTTAATAAATTCTAATAGAAGTAAGTTTTATTGTGATGTGATATTTTGATCTTATTTTTTAATTTTTTTTTATTCCTTACCATATCATTAGAGTTTAATTAAAATTCTAAAATTAAAAACTGTATCATTGCTCTTAATATTCAGTGTCACTTCTCAACCTCAAGAAAAACAGTTCTCATCATCAACAATTTGGTATGATTTTTTACCCGCATAATATGATTTATTCAAAATGAGATAAACTACTAAAACTTGGAGTGCTAAATCACAGGAAGAACGGAAGATGGGAAATAAGTGTAAAAGTATCTAACAAGACAAGACACACCTAAAAAAAATGCGAAATTCAAAAGCCAAGGCTAGAAGATTAGACTGCCTTTATGCTATGTTT